CACTCTTTGTTGAACTGTTGAACTAATACTAGACTCAGCGCGTTTCGGTGGTGTCTGGCACGGTCCATGTCAGCTGTGTTCCATTTAAACAACAGTTATCTCGGTTACGGCGGTCGGATCGTTCTCAGCATGCTTTCTAAAGGATAGTGTAGAGGTGGTATAAGATAAAACAGATAGAGGCAACAGGGCGTACCCTAGAGATGAACGAAGGACTCCAGCTTTCCAAAAGAAATTAGATTTACATCAATTAACGATGAATCTAGCTGAGTGAAATAATTGCTTTCATGTGTTGGTAGAGTTAGGATTTGGATGGTTTTAGTAATGCCACAGTTTCACAATCTACATTACCAATCTGTTCAGAATGTCCCTGACATGTTAGCTACAACCCAGCACCTTGCTTTCCTTTGAAAAGGTCAATGAAACGCTGTGTCTAAGTAAATAAAAAGGTCATCATCGTCATCACTTACCGGAACTAAAGACAACATCTGTGCCGCTGTTCAGGCTGAGCTGTGATGGGAGAGAAAAGCTAGAAGACTAAACGACACCTGGAGACAGCAGAACCCTGCTAGGCTCAGAGGAATCATGCCTTGCTAACGAGTTACAGGGAGATATCGATATCAATCTATATCAGAGTGAACAAACCACCACACACCTGATGTTGGATTCCCTTCCTTCAGTTCGCTGCATCACCGCCTCTGACACATGACCGCAAAAACACAAAGCGAGGCTAAATCCGTCCACTTATTCAAACAAAAAGTATATCATCACCACAATATTAACGAGCCATCTTTTAACTTGTGGCTGATCTGATTGTAGTGTTCTGAACGGATCAGATGATCACACACGATGCTAAAGATGTCCACCATGTGACCGACGACCAAGAAGAGAGGGAAGGCTAAAATATCGTAAGCTTAATCTGATTATGTGCAGCACTAGTTCAGTGTTTAAGAAGCTTCACTGCAGAACAGAAGAACATCTGAGGTTTTATTTCAGGCTCCATTCCTGAACAGATGGAGGTCCACCATGTTGCTTTGGCGGGACCGTAAACTGAGCTAACGCTAAGCTGGGTGGTCTTCACAAAGCCATATGGTCCGTTCTGCCATCAGGGTCTGAAGCCGCTGTGCTACTTTACCAGAACGCTTTAGGAGACTTTTGATCTCAGTCACTTTATTGCTTGTTAATTAAATCCTAAATAAATAAGCAAAAGAAAGAGCTCTGAGCGTAATAATTGACCTCTGTGCTATAAGTTGCATATTTTAAAGTTAAAGAATTTATTTGCCCTCTGATGGAAAGAAAAACAAAGCAACCTAATGACATTGGATCTTGTGGTGTAGATTAATTAAACCATGAAACATTGATCTATGTTCTGCAGCAGGATTTCATCTAAAAAATCTGGATATATCATTTTATGGACATATAGGCTCTACTAACAAGACAAGGTCTAATTGCCTGACGGAGTTTATGAAAAAGTTTGCTGTCCTTACAATTCAATTCAGTTGATTTATTTATATAGCGCCAATTCACAACACGTGTCATCTCAAGGCACTTTACAATTCAACCAGAACACACATTAAAATTGAATCAAAGTTTTCTATCTAAGGTAAACCAGTTAGTTGCATTGACTCATTGACTCAATCCCTCACTAAGCATGCTTGTGACAGTGGAGAGGAAAACTCCCTCACAACAGGAAGAAACCTCCAGCAGAATCACGATCAGTGTGAGCGGCCATCTGCTCAAAACCAGCTTGCATGTCAGAGGATTAAAGAGAGCAGATCCAACCGGTCACAGTCAGAGAAATGGACTACAATGACAAAAAGAACGATTTCAAACATCTAGAAACAAAGGTGTTGATGGCAGCAGCACAGCTGATGTTTCTCTCCAGGATGGAGTCACAGCCAAACAGGAACAGACCAGATGAAGCTACTATGAGAAAAAGCAGAGAGAGCAGAACGTTAGAGATTGAACTAACAGATTCTGCAGAGTGGGAGAATAGAGATAGAATGAAGCAGAATGATGAAAAAGGGGTCCCTATGTCCTCCAGCAGTCTAAGCCTATAGCAGCAGAACTATAGAGATAGATCAGGATAACCTGAGCCACTCTAAAGGGCTGGTTATACTCCTGCAGCAGTGTTTCGCAGTGAGCTTGATGCAGACATTTTTGATTTATGCCCAATATTGAAGCGTGGTCTAGATACGGCCGAGGCGGTGAGGAAGTGGGGGCGAGTTTGTCTGAGAACGGAGGGACATGAGGGCCAAAAAGAGTGGGGATGCAGGTGGAAAAGGGTCCCAGCGTTTCTGCACACCTCGCTCTTCTAGCGGGTCAAACTTCATGAGTTGTTTTCCACAATTTCGGTCATAAAAACAAAACAAGCCGGCCTCCTGTCTGCAGTCAGCTACAATTTGGGAGAGGAGCAGCAGAGTGTTTGCGGAGGGGGCGGGGACGTCTTTTTGTTCACTGTGACACCTACACAGAAGATCTAGTCTGCAAGTATAAATCAGCATTAACTATAAGCTTTATCAAAAAGGAAAGTTTTAAGCCTAGCCTTAAAAGTAGACAGGGTGTCTGCCTCACGGACTAAAACTGGTAGTTGGTTCCACAGGAGAGGAGCCTGAGAACTAAAAGATCTGCCTCCCATTCTACTTTTAGAAGTTCTAGGAACCACTAATAAACCTGCAGATTGAGAGCGAAGTGCTCTGTTAGGAACATAAGGAACAATCAGATCTCTGATATAAGATGGAGCTTGGCCATTTAAGGCTTTATATGTGAGAAGGAGGATTTTAAATTCTATTCTGGATTTAACAGGAAGCCAATGAAGAGAAGCCAGGATAGGAGAGATATGATCTCTCTTTTTCATTTTCATCAGAACTCTGGCTGCAGCATTTTGGATCAGCTGAAGGCTTTTAACTACAGTTAAACTCACAGCAGAGGAGATAGAAAATTTTTTAATGGTTCCTGAAGAACAGAGATATGCACAAAGCTTTGAATCAGAACTGAAAGCATGTCTGTTTTCTGGAGTTTTTCAATCATTGGTCAGAGATCATTTCATCACATCCATCCATCCAGAGGCGGGTCACCAGTCTATCACGGGGCAACACAGAGACAAACAGGACAAACAACCATTGACGCATATACTAAGGAGAATTTAGAGAAGCCAATTAACCTAACATTCATGTTTTTGGACTGTGGGAGGAAGCCGGATCCCCCGGAGAAAACCCACACATGCTCAGGGAGAACATGCAGAAGGACCCAGAGACAGGAATCAAACCCAGAACCTTTTTGCTGCAAGGCAGCGGTCCTGCACCACTGAGCAGCCCATTTCATCACCTCCTTCCTGTCATATTATTTGCTTTTTTTCCCCTTTTTTTAAACATGTTTTTTTTGCTCAGCTTTAAACTGTCTGATCAGCGGTTTATTCCTTTGTTTTATTAGTATTTCTGGGGTTTAAAAAGCCAATAAATGTTTAATGTTTGCTTCCTTTATTTGTTCCAAACAGCAGGAGTTTCCTCTTGTGTTTAGTTGCTGCTGATCAATAGAGCCGTTCTAATCCTCTGTCTCTCCGTCAGGCTGATTCGGTTCTGTCAGAACATGAAGGATCATTTGGCTCCGAGCTTCAGGTTTGGATTTGAATGCCTCCAGGTGTCAGAGGCGTGCCGGGTCTAATCTTCAGCATAGTCTCCCGCGGGTCGGCTCTGATTCATCAGAGGAGTCCTGGGGGGGGATCGCCGTCACTCTGACTGACGGTGACCTTTTCCTTTCAGCTCCCTGCGGGCCGACAGACACCGATCGGCGACCTCACACCGTCTCACCCTCGCACGGCTAATCTCTTCCCTCCTTTTATGAACCTCTCAGGCTGTTAGCGCCCTGTGGACCAGGTGCTGGGGTTCTGTAATCCAGGAAAACTGTGTCGCCGTGCGTGTGTTGGTTTTGCATCATACAGGTTCAAATCCCAGCCCTTAGAAGCGTCCATGTTCTGCTGGTATCAGGCCCTCCGACGCCTCAATGATACCTTCAGACAGTCAGTATGGGTCATGGACCCATACAGAAAAAATACTTAATAGGTTAAAAATATATTTATGGTTAATTACCGTTTTTAATTTGTGCACATCCTGAGAGGCCAGTTTATTAGGTACATGTTGGACCTACTTCTGCTTTCAGAACCGTGTCCCTTATTTCTGGGACTGATTGAACAGGAAGACCCTCAGGGGTTTAGCTGCTGATCTATGGGAATCTACCGAAGGCCTCAGAGAATCTTCACCTTCGAGAAGCCAGTTGGAGAAGATCTGAATGTGAAACGCTGTGGTGATAAAGGCAGAGCAGCAGGTTTTTGCCCAGTCCATGTCTCCCTGACCATCGTTTGTCCATCTGAACCACCGACTCTAACCTCAGCAGATCCTCCACCATCTGCCTGCTGCAGGAAAACAGGCCTGAACATGAGCAGGAATCCCATTCAGCCGTGGTTCTCTGCTGTGACCAAAGCGTTCGGATAAAAGAAAGAAAGCTAAGTTAAAGTAATAAATAGGTCAAAGTGAAGGTGAGCCGTAAACTCATCGCCTTTTCAGCACCTCCAAAAAACAGTACATGTTTTAAAAAGAGGGACATATAGAGAGGAGGAGGCATTCAGAGTGTCTTATTGTTAAAACAATAATCACTGTATTTAAATATTTCAGCTTCACTATATCTAATAAAGGAAATTGGAATCAGTGGTTCCGGATTTTATCTACATGCTGCTGCAGATTCCAACAGCTCCACAGAAGCCTTCCAATCAGACATCTGGGTGTTCGCATACGAGGATACGTGGGATCATCTTCATTTCCAGAGCTAAAAAACAGGAGCTAAAACCCCTCTGAGGTACAGAGCTGCTGCAGGAAACACCTTCCTTCAGGAAGAACATGTTTGTAACGTTTCATTTAGGAAAAACAAAGAGTAACGGATGGAAAATAAAGAAAGAAACGCCTGAAATCGTTCAGAGGACCTAACAGCACAGAAATAGCAGCAGTGACCTTTGCTCCGTCTTCCCACCTGGATACTTCCTGTCCTACGATCCAAACAAGCAGAAACAAGTCCAAGTTCAGTCACTGTGGGGGAGATCCGCTCTTCCTCCTCATAATCCTCCTCCGCTTCTTTTCCCAGGGTCTCTGCAGACTTCTGTCCCACTTCTTCGACCTCTGCGGCTCCTGTAGGTCCTCCTTCCCTCTGTCTGCTCTCCTCCCACTGCTCCTCCTCTTCCTCACACACAAACGGGCCATAAATCGCCTCCACCTCCCAGGAAACCGCTCCGATTTCAGCCTCCGCTCCCCTTTTCTTTTTTCATGGAGAAAAGAAAGGCTCATCCAGGAGAAAAGAGCGGTGTCACCTTTCATTGTCAGGAACACAACAGAGGAGCTTGTTTCTGAGCCGAGGAATGCACCGGGTCCCTCTGAGGCCTTGTTCACTGCTTTTCAGCATCACTTAGAGTTTCACTCAACTCTTAAATAGTTTATATCTCATCCAAGAAAGGCGTTTTATCACTGCAGCGCTGGAACAAAGCGTTGGCCAGGTTTAAATCTGAAAACATCCCAGAGGATGCTGCTTCATCATCATCATCATCCAATTAGAAGCTAACCTAATCATCATATTATAAAATATGATGTTTATAAGCGCCCCCTACAGGTTAATCATTTATAAACAACAGCTGCTGATGATTCAAACTAGCTGTTTTATAAGCAACGCTGCAGAGTTTAGAAATCCACCTGCACTAAAATGTGGCATAAGATTTTTTTTAGAAACAGACAAACATGATGCTTCAAACTCAGTCTAATATATTTTAATGACAGGTGACGTGTTTTCTGTTTTTTTCTTTTACCAATTCTGAATCGATTCTTATTTTAATACCTAAAACTTTCCTTACGGCTTAACTACTTTTGATAATCTTGCTGCTGAATGTGTTAGGAATCCAGTCTGTGTGGGTTGGCCTTCTCCCCCTGGAAGGATTGTTAGTGTTTCACACTGAGCAGGGGATTAATCTCCATACGTCCCGTTCAAGTTCTCCAAGGAAATCTAAGTGGCAGTCCGCTCCATTGCTCCTCAGGAACTAACCAAACCAAAACCTTTCCGCCCTCCAACGAGCCCCCCTATCTCTGGAAAAACCCACACCGACTGGATTCTGGGTAGAAATCTTTCACCGCAAACGTGAGTCCAGTTTACCTCTGTTTTTGCAAGACGTCGTTCAAAGTTACCACGGACCCTGAACTAACCACTGTGAACTTCCCTTCTCACTTCCAGTTCCGGTTCACCAGCTCACTGAGTTCCCCTGAATCACACCCAACTATACTCCTCAATAAACCTGTTAAAATTTGACTCTGGTTTTCTCTGAGTGGTTTCCTGCATGTGGGTCAGATCTCTTTAAAACAACATCACAGAATGTTCATATAGTACTAGTTAATGCTGGGCGAAAAAAATCCTAAATCACGATATGGACAATTTATAACGATATATATTGCAATATACCCTGATTTTCAGCTAATCTCTAAAGAATATAATTTGTTACTTTTTCAACTTTATTTGGAAGTGACATTTACAGAACTGTTACAAATGAGAAAAAATAAATCGGAGTTGAGCAATATATGCATCAACTGGCAACAGATCATTCGGAGGTAGCGTTACAGTAGCCTTCACAATTTTTTTCCAAATCCTAAAGGTATTTAAACTAAATTACTCCGTTATCTTCGGACAGATATGGTTTTTATTTTGGCAACATTCTCTCCATGTTTCACACCGTGCTTTACCTCAGTGTTTGGAACCTGATGCATTTTTTGGTGGTTCTTTAGGTGATAGAACAGGTTTATTCTGCTGCTGTCCGGAGAGGGAGCAGTTTTGTAGCATAGCTGTTTGCTCCGGGTCAGACTTCTTAAATCCAGAGTCTAATCAAATCCCTCTTTTTAGCTGCCTGCGTAGCTGTCTCTGTTTGACTCTCTGAGTTTAGTAAAGCATGTTGAAGACTAGTGTGAGTCAAAAGCCCTAAAGCAGCATTATGTGCAAAACCACAAGACGCCGCTTCTTTGTAGAGTAAAATAAATTAATCTTGTTTATCACTTATATAAGCTGTCCAAGCTACTACACCAATAGGTTCATCATAGTCTACCTTGCAAAATATTTGCTTAAATACAAGATAAAATGGTTATAAATGATTGAATATAATTAGAACTATAGACCCTTTTCTATTCCCCAGCACTAGTACTAGTATCATTGTGCTGAATGAAGACACAGTGGTTTAAAATTAGGTAACGGCTAAAAACTGCTTTCAGTAACAATAACTTGAGTTTGGAAGAGTTGAAGAGAATCTGTTCTAAAACGTAAAAATCGGAGGGATGAGCTTTAAGCTTCTGATTAAAGTGGTTCTTTTCTTTAGGTTTTACTAAAAGTACTGAAACGATGACTGGATTCACAGAGCAGAACCTGAAAGAATCTCAATCTGTTAGAAACAAAAACTTTAATGATCCAGTTAGAGGCAAAAAAAATCTTTAAGGCAGAGCTGGAGGAGTGGTTAGAGAGAGGAGGGGTCAGAGGTCATCAAAGAATGAAATGAAACCTGTTTTTTTAACTACAGATAACATTTGGTGCCTTTTAATCAGCTTTTTTTTTTTTATTCTAACCTCATTAGTACATGTCTGAACAGAAAATAATAATCAAATTTAACTGTTTCAATTAAAGTTCTGACTAAATTAATTCAATGAGCTCAAGTTCAATACACAATTACATGTATCAAAATTAAACAAAACATTTGATTTGTAATAGTGTTTATAAAACATTTCATCTGTTGCACTTCATAATTTGAATATTACATATTTTTATTATGCAGCTAAAGTAGAAATAGGACCTTTTTTTCACGGGGATCTATTTTCCTATCATCTTCAGAGGAGTGATTTTAACCTGTTTGTTCCCAGAAGTTGGAGGTTTGGTAATGCAAGCGTTCTTTATGCGTATTTGATGCCAGATCAGTGCGTTGTCTCCTCGCTCGGCCGTCTTCCTCTGATTTAACTCTGTAAACCATCTGTGATGCAGACAGACATGCTGCAGGTTTTATGTGGAACCTGCGCAGAAATCTGAAGGCTCCAAACACACCCGGAGAACCTGGCATCAGTCTGCAGCTTTATGTCGCTTTAATCTTTTGTCTGTTCATCCAGCTTCTTCCTCTGTAGGTTTTTTTTTTTTTTTTTCCTAAGCCTGAAGGCATGAAACTCTGCACCATCAAACATGGTGAGGGAGCGCCGGCTCCACAATTACAGAGCACACAGTGGGTCTTTGGCAGCAGCGCGCGCAGAACGAGCCAGGGCACGCTGCATGCCTGAGTTAACAAAGCTCCGCTAATAGATGCTTCATTAAGGTTGGAGATCAGTGGAGTGGATCGGCGGAGGGAGGGGTTGTGGGAGCTGGGAATGAGGATGCAGCTCTTATCTGGTCCCCAGACGCCACTCACCCTCCTCCTGACGCGGCGGCTGCAGGGGAACTCAGCAGGACAAAGAGAGAAACCTGGGAATGTCTGTCATCACCTTCTGTGATGAAAACTGGGAGAGGAGCTCAGGGAAAGCTCAGCCTGAATCTCTACACATTCCTGGGAACACTAAGAGACAGAAAAACCACCTTCCGGGAGGTTTTACTTTCCTCCTTAGATCTTTCATTTCCTCTGACATCATTCTGCCAAACGAAGCTGGCAGATGAAGCAAGAAAAATGTTGTAATGATCTGCCCTGATGGCTGGCCTTAATTGTTCATTTCACTCGTCTGTCTAACTCTGCCCAGACTCTAATTATCACTCATGTCCTCCACTTGCATCTGTTCCTTTATATTTGGTCAAGCCCAGCTATCATGGCCAGATCATTGCTTGTTTGCTGTGTGTTTGTTTATGCCTGTTAGCCTGTCTGTTTAGTTTAATTTATTTCATGGTTCAGGTCCTGGTTCCTGGCAGCCAGCGGATTGAGAGGGTTTGCGTTTCTGTCTTGTCCTCTGATTGTGTCCTGGTTGTCCTTCATGCAGCCCTCAGGGTTTTGGCTCGGGACGCGGCGACGATCAGTTTTATTCCCGTAAGCCCGGCTCCAAGGGGAGACCAGTTTAAAGTTTCCTGCAGAAATCCCGGTACCATGTCCCGTCTCTGTTTCTCTCAACCACAGAGCCTTTCCGTCTGCATCTGTGCCTGCCTGGAATTCCCTTTTCCCTCTGTTCCTGTTTGGATCGTAACTTCTGATCAGCTGAGGTCTCCTGGATTCCTGGACTGTTCCTGCCTGCTCTGTTTTCCTCTAACCTGGACCGGCCCCCAGCCTGTTCTCCGGCCTGCAGCATCTGGGAAATTCTGGGCGGTAAAAAAGTATTTAGCTCCAAAAGAAGCATTTATTTAACAAACTAAATATTTAATTATAATAAAACAAATTCGTTTGCTGATTTTTTTTTTTTAAATTGACAATCTAAATGAATGAATGGCCATTTCTGAATTCACTAGAATGTGAGTACGGAGTTGTGTGGCGAGGAGAGTATGGACCCTGGGAGAACGGCAGCACGCAGCTGAAATCTGGGTCAATTGGAACAGAAACATACTGATGACATCACCACACGCTCAGCTCGTATGGAGCTGCATTGAACCTCCTGTTAATAATAGTCCCTAGATAACAATTAATTCTTACTTTATCATTTAGTGGGGAAATTAACAATTGACACAGACAGATACACACAAATCAAACGAACATTTTGCCAAATAAAATCAGAGGCAGCGGTCCTTCACACACGGCTATGCAGAGAGACGGGCTAGGATTAGCCCTGGCTGCCATTACCCTCGGAGGTCCGCTGGTTGCCACGGTCCTCTCAACTTCGGACATTTTTTTGTCAATTATGCACTAAATCAGTAAATGGGCCATATAGTGAGCTTTAAAGTATAATATTGTTGCCTCAAATGATCTTTAAACGTACTTTTATTGAACAACTGCAACAGAAAAGAGACGTTTGAACTTAATCCTCTGAGCTCTGTGCGCGCTTACCTGGAAGCTGCTGCTGCCGCAGTGCATGCTGGGATAGCTGTCAATCTCAATGGATAAGTCTGCTTTGAACATACTCTGTATGGAGGATCAAGAACGCCATCCGGGGACTTTGTCCGTTCTCTGTCTTATGTTCTTGTGAACTGGAACGGTACTATTGCTGAGGCTGATGGCGTTACACAG